GGAGGTGGTATCATCATGTTGCTGAGGGATAGAGCATAGGAAATCATTGTCACCTCGCTCATCCATGTATGCCACATCATCCTTCAGTTTCCGCTTCTTGGTCTCAGAGTTGCACCCTAATATATGGGCATCAGATCTTTCACAATGATCATCCACATTCGCTTCAATGAATTGACCTTTCTTCCCCAATCTACCAGCAATTCCATTATTTCCTGCCAATTGATGAGTTCTGATGGAAATGCCATCCACGTCAGCAATGTAATCATGGTAATAGTTTGATGGAGGGTCAGAATACTCACGCCCAACTTCCTGTCTCTGTCTTCTCTCTGCAGGGTACATATCATACATCTTTCCCTTCTGCTTGGCTTTCAAAGAGTAGTTTTCTACTTCTGCCATATGCAGGTGTTCTCCAAAATCACCCCGATTTCTGGAGGAGTGGGATAATCCATCAAGAGTCCGAGTATTATCTCTTTTATCTTTCTTAGCAAATTTAGCCTTCTTAGAATCAGGACCAGATTTCATTGCTGATAAACCACTGGGGAAAACAAATTTGCTCCTCATCAAGGGATTGTCGTCCTCATCTTCATCAATTTGATCAGATGAGTCTGACTCTGTTTCCTCGCTTTTAACAAACGTTCTAAAACCTTTCACCGATGCCATGTCTCGCCCTCCATTCTGCATAGAAGTTGCCCCGACCTTCTCCTGTGATGGCTTTGCCCTATGTTCAGACTGAAATAACCTATCATTAACTTGTAGATCAGGAGACACTCTCCCTATCTTCCACTTCTTGCTCTTAACTTTCCCATCGCTAACTTTGGATAATGGGTCAACAGAGAAATGCTCTCGTTGTGTTTTGTTATGCCAAAGTGGTTCAGTTCCGTTGTATAATTCAATTTGACTTCCTTTCAGAGACAAATTCGGAGCCTGGTTTTTCACAAATTTCATCTGATCATCAACAGCAACTAGCGAAACATTGGTAGGGTAATTGACCATTTTACCATTATCATCAATGATTCTCATAGTAGATGGTTTTGAAGTTAACATCCTGATATCTGACAACTGATTCACATTCTTCTTTCTACCATATGGATGTGAATCATTCTTCAAAGACATAGGCATGCCAATGAAGCCGTCCACATATTCTTCACCTCTCAAACCTTCATGTTTTTTCCCCATTTTAAAAGCCCCAGATTTACCTGTTGCACTGATTCGTGAGAAATTCCGATCTCTCTCAACAGCCACTTCATACATAGTTTCTTCTGCATCATCATAACCTCTGATCTGGTCCCTCACCCGAACTGCGACCCCAGAATCATACCCTGATGCCTTCTTCTCTATGGAAAGTGTTAATGCAGAACCACGAGCACCTGATCTCATATCCATCCCCTGATGAACCGAAGGAAAGCATCCTGCTGCAGTAGACATCTTTGATCCAGCCAACTTCAATGTTCCTTTTGGATTCTTCTTTGCATACTTTGCCGGTTCCATGGCCATTTGTCTAGCTGGACTCGCCCCATATCCAGAATAACGACCCAATTTCTGCCCAAGTTTCTGATCCTTCATTCTTTTTTTGCTCCACAATCCGTCTGCTGACTCTTCTCTTTCAGAAGAGTCACTCTCCATCTCTTCCATATTCTCATACATTAAACTCTTCTGACTCTTCATTATGTTCAACACACGAAGCTTCTCTTCGATGCTATACCCCCTACAGTTAAGCCAAGTACCCCTTATCTGGCAAAAATTAGTGACCATTGAGTTCTGATGCTTCCGCAAAAGATGATAATGCTGTCTCTTCTGAAAGAACTTCAAACCCTGCCTATAAAGGGCAACCCTCGGTTCACATAATCCTCCCTTCAACATTTCGAATAACTTATCAATAGGATTCCCAAAATGAAGATTATCCCCTGTAAAGAGCTCTTTCAATGTCCGCATAAATGCCTCTTGGTCCAAATCCGGAAGGTACTTTGCAAGGTTAAATCTTTCCTCCTTGGACAAAATATCATTCCACACGTCCATAGACAACACATCATTCAAGGATTGAAGATCGTACAATTCAAATGGTATGCTACAAGTTTGATCCCCAACCTGGCAAAACTCTTCCCCAGTTTCCCCTAATTCCAACAAATCAAAATCATCTGATCCTGCCCCAGAATCACAGTCATCGAACTCATCATCATCATCATCATCATCAGCCGATTCGATAACTGAGTTCCGCCTCTGAAACTCGTCTTCCTCACTAGACATAGTCTCCCTACTATGAGACGAAAACTCCGAATCCAATCTCGAAACCTTAAAGCTATTCTTTTCAATCGCCATTCAACATAACCCACACAAAATCAACCCAGCCACAATTTCTCCCGATATCACACCTTTCCCACCCAATTTCCAATATTCACAATTCCAATCATAAACCCTAGGGGAAAAAAACCAATAACAAGGATTCAAAATCTAAAAACTTATTTGGAAAAATGCAACATATAAACAAAATATCATATGAGTAAATCCGGGGAAAAAAAACAGCTTTCAACCAATTCTAAGACATGACAAAACTACATATATTTTTGTACACATACATAGACTGCAATTCATCATAAAATTACCTCAATTCCGTGGTTTAGGCTGGAGTTGCAGGACAAGGCTGAAATCTGAGCGGTGATGGAGGAGAGAGAAACCGTTCGCGAAAAGAAGTTGACCCATTTTCTTGAATATTATTACCAAGACTCTGGAAACCCTTAAAGAGGCGTTAGTCATCAATAGACGACAATAGGGTAAGGAAGAAGAAGACGAGGACGTGGTGGGTGCTGGGCCGTCTGATGAGGGTGAGTTGAAAAAGACAAAAAAGGGCACGCAAGTGAGAGATAGAGAAGGGGGGGCGTGTGTGTTTTTTTTGCAGAGGCGTAGAGAGAGAAGAGGGAGGGGAGGAGGAGGAGGAGGAGAGAGAAAAAGGGGTTTGTTGTTGTTGTTGTTGTTGAAGGTGGTGACTCAGCTACTGAGTCGAAACCCTGGTTGCAGGGAAGAAGCGTGATGTGGGTCATTTCTTGGCGATTTGATTTTCGGAATCTCGCGGCCGTCCGATCTGTGACTGCCTGTGATCTAATAGACTAGTGCTCGCTTACTTCTCCCTCTTTATACTTCTGCCCCAAAAATAATGACAGTAGATATAAGAATTTGTTTAGGGTCGAGAAAGTGAAAATTATAAAAAGTGGAGCGAAAAAAATATATATATTTTTACACTTGGTTAGTATAAAAAATTTATGAAAAAATCTCAAAAAAAGAGTATTTTATTGTTTAAAAGAAAAAAAAAGTTATAAGAAAATTTTTTAAATTGTTAAAATTACTTTTAATTATATTAAATTAGTTTAAAGAAGAAAAAAATATGTATTATAATTAAAAGTTAAATTTTTTTTAAAAGGTTACTCCTAACCTAATTCGAACAACCATTAGTATGAAGGTCTCTAAGTCAAATTATATTATTAACTAAATTTATAACAAAAATTTTTAAAATTAATAATTAATAAAATATTTTAAGAAAAAAAGATAAAATAAGAAATTAATTATACATCACAACTTTCTTGTATTTCCTTGTATTTTTTACAAAAAAAGAAAATTGGTTAGATGTGAGAAAATCTAAGCATAGAAAAAAGAAAAACTATCATTTTTTATTTCATGCTAACCAAACACATAAAATTTTAAAAAAAATTTCTTTCTTGCATTTTTTACCATAATTCCGCTAAACAAACGAACTCTTAGTTGTCACAGAAAAAATTCATTACCCAGATGGATTAAAAAAGGTTGTAAGAGAAAAAGGCTCTAAATGAAAATTTTTCGGTACCATACCTCGTCACAATCTCAAATAACCATTTGATATCATATCACTTAAATAAAAACCCAATTTTTACGAGCAAGTTTTATACATTGGTTTATATCATACCTCTTTTATGGGATATTGTTTTTTTTAGTATTACTATTAGAAGTGTCCAACCAGGCTATATACACTTTGACTAATTATCTCCCCTATCCAATAAAAGGGATCTCATCCACGCGCGGGACTAGAAAATTCATGAGAGAAAAACCTTATGAATTTATCAAGTTTTGAACTCATAATTTCTAGGTGTAGAACTTATCCATTTCTACACTATGTTACCCCTTGGAGTTCTCATTTTTTATTTTATCTTTTTTTTATTCTAATATTTTTACAATCAATAGTCACAATTAGATCAAAGAAAGATCAATGGCTAAAAAATATATTTCAATAAATTAGTGAAAAATAATTTTTGATACTATATCACTATCGAAAAGGAAAAAAAAATTATCCAACAACGTTATATGATCCAACAATAGACAAGAGGTAAATCCGTACATCTGCGTTCAAATTTTTTAAACATAATAAAATTTAAGTTTAATTGATATAGGTAATTAATGGGGAATTTATATGCATCTAACATTTACATTACAATCATGAATTTAAAATACCTGTGTCAATTTTGCTCGGAAAGAAAGTTGATTAATTTGAAGAACATAAAATACCTTCTTTTTTTCTTTTTTTTTGTCATCAATTTTTTAAATCATCACTTTGAAATATATCACCCATTGAGACCATAATATCCCAGATTTTTTTAAGGCATACAAGATGTATATGCAGAGAATAATTTTTATTGACGGGTTTAGAATCACTAATCATGATTTGACAATTGGACTAAAGACACGTGATACTTGGCACATGCCCAAAAAAATTGTTTAGAGCAACTCTATTATGACCGAACTAATAAAAGTTCAACTGATCGTGGGTGTAATTTGGGTGAACAGATTGAATAGAAACCCGATCAGCGAGAAATCAATTAAAAATAGTCTGTGTTAGAAAACATTTATGAGTAGGGAATTGTGTGTCGAACTTAGCCTAGTGAAATATGCTCATAAATAGATACTACGAGACTAGAATTTGAATAAGAGTCTGACTTTGTCGTTTGAAGATTAAGCCCTATTCAAACAAGAACAGATAGTTAGGTTATTTCTATAAATTCGAAAAGATTGACACGATGAAACATAGGCATTAATAAAGAATAAAATTGAGCAGGAAGATAGCTAGACTATACCGGATAACCAGAAGTGGTGAACAAGAAAAAGAAGTCCGCAAAGATTTCTATACGAATTGAGAAAAAAATTAAAACAATTAGTGAGAAAAAAAGAGGGATAAATATCAGAGTTTACATAGAAGTCTTTTGTGTGAATGGTGGTATTATTGGCTCACTAAAATATCCTTGGGTTTCTCCTTAAGTTATATTGAATGGAGATCTCCTTTAATATGTTTTTAACTAATCATTATCTGTACTTAAAGGCATTATAACAAACAAATTTTTTTAAAACAATTGTTCAAATTTAAAAGAAATGACTTAAAAATATTTATACAAATTCTTCTTTTAAAATGACTCAAAATATATTATCGATTATATCCTCCATATTAATGGAACTATCATAAAAATATATAAAAACTCTCCAAAGTAACACCATATATACAAATGCGTATGAAAAAAAAATACTAACATAATGTATTAAAATTTATAATCTTTAAACAATAAACTACTTGGAATAATTGTGAGTAAAAGGAGATACTCAAATTAAGAGTAAAACCCCGTATATATAGGCAAAATATAAAAATCATAGTAAGGGTAAAAAAGGGAAAAGAAATCCTAATAAACCTAGGAAAAGAAATCCTAATAAACCTAGACTATCTATACTCCAACACTCCCCCTCAAGCTAAGCGCAAAAATGTCAACTAAGCCAAGCTTGACAACGGAGTCCCGAAGAATAGACAGAGTGACAGGTTTGGTAAAAACATCCGCAACTTGATCACTGGTCCCCACAAACGATGGAGTAACAAGACCACTGCTGACCTTCTCCCGAAGAAAGTGAACATCGATCTCTATATGCTTCGTTCTCTCATGTAGTACAGAGTCAGAAGCGAGCTGAATAGCAGATTGATTATCACAATATAATGTGGATGGAGAGGTCACTGAAAAACCCAACTCGTCAAGAATCGATCGTAGCCAGATAATCTCACATGTGCCAAGTGCCAATGCCCGATACTCTGCCTCTGCGGACGAGCGGGAGACAACTGCCTGCTTCTTGCTCTTCCAAGAGATAAGATGAGTCCCTCGAAAAGCACAGAAACCCGTAGTAGATCGACCATCACATGCTCCCCCATAATCTGAATCTGAATAACAGGCTAGAGAACCGGTCTGAGATCCTGATGCATAAAACAACCCAAGTCCAGGACAAGACTTGAGGTACCGAAGAATATGATAAACTGCATCAAGATGAGGCTGACATGGCCTATGCATGAACTGACTAACTCGGCTGACTGCGAATGAAATGTCCGGCCTAGTATTGGCTAAGTAGATAAGTCTACCTACCAATCTTTGATAAACTGTCGGATCTTTCAACTCCTCACCTTCAGCAGTAAGCTTCAGGTTTGGAATCATAGGTGATAATGCCGGTTTGCACCCCAACATCCCAGTGTCTGAAAGAAGATCCAAAACATACTTTCTCTGAGAAAGAACAATACCTCTGCTTCTACGGGCAACCTCAATCCCAAGAAAGTATCGCAGAAATCCAAGATCCTTCACATCGAAGGCCTTCCCAAGGTCTATCTTGACCTGCGCAGTCCCAGAAACATCATCACCAGTAATAATAATATCATCAACATATACCAGAAGGATGACACACTGTCCAGAAGTATTCCGTCGAATAAAGCAGGTATGATCAGAATGACACCTGGTGAACCCCAATCGTATGACTACATCACTGAAGCGAGAGAACCAGGCTCGTGGCGACTGTTTCAGTCCATAAAGAGACTTACGCAGTCGACATACCTTTCCAGCATACTCCCCCTCACCACGAAAGCCCGGTGGTGCATCCATATAAATAATCTCGTCCAGATCACCGTGAAGAAATGCATTCTTCACATCTAATTGATGAAGAGGCCAAGAGTACTCCGCAGCCAGAGAAATAATTAACCGAACAGTAGTCAATTTTGCCACGGGGGCAAATGTAGCACCAAAATCACGACCTGGTACCTGAGTAAAGCCCTTCGCCACAAGTCTAGCCTTGTAACGATCAATAGTACCATCCGCAAGAAACTTCAGGGTGTAAACCCAGCGACAGCCAACAGGCTTCACCCCTGAAGGTAAGGAGACAAGATCCCATGTATGATTACGCTGAAGAGCGTCCATCTCTGTCTGCATGGCAAGAACCCACTGGGGCTCCCGCATAGCTTCCGAAATAGAGCGAGGAACCAGCGTATCTGATAAGGCCATAGTATAAGCTCGAAATGTGGGAGACAGATTACCATAAGAAACATAAGCAGAGATCGGATATAAAATCTTTGCGGTCCAACCATATCGATCAACTGGACGGCGATCACGCCTTGGATAACGACGCCCTAAATCACCATCCTCTACTGATAATATCTTATCAGGTAAAGTAACTGGCTCAGCACCTGTAATCTCATCAGTACTAACAACAGGTGCATCAATATGCTCAACAAACTGAGAAGTATTACCTGCATCGCCTGAGGTAGAGGGGATATCAGCAGGGTGATGAGAGCGAGGACAACGAGCATACACCTGCAAAGGAAGAGAGACTGGTAACTCTGTACTGACAGGGATGAGTGA